GTCGGAGCGTAGCCTTAGGTATTTGTCAAGGTGGAACAACCCACTTTGCTGCGTTTTGGCACTATATATGGGGGAGAGGTCAGAGAAGGAACAATGCCACTTGCTCAGCTCTTGCTCCACTTTCAGTCACTTTTCCTGCTTCCCACAAGCCACTGTGTCCTTTTAGGTGCTGCCCTGGAGCTAATTCCTGAGTGGGTGGGCTTGTGTACATTCTAGGACCCATGGGCCCCTCCAACATACTCTCCTGTGAGACTGGTAGTTTCTCCTTCTAGGACAACATGCATAGGTTTTTATAGCCAGAGCTTTTGTGGCTTAATTTTTCCCGTGCTGGAATCCTGGGTTGCATGGTCTGTCTTGTTCTTCCTGGTTTATCCACATACGAACATGGGACCACCTGGTCCACCAGCCTCTGCCTTGCCACATGTGTCCTCTCTGCCCTGGCTGCCCATCTCCGCCCCACCAGCCAGTCTGGATGAATGTTTCTTCTTTAACTCCTTGGTTATCGGACTTCCATACAGTTCAATTCTGGCAATTCTGGTTGATTTTTGAAAAAAATTGGTTGTTATCCTTCTTTAGATTGTGTGAGGAAGTGAAGTGTATCTACCTACACCTCCATCTTGGCTGGAACTCTTAAGCCATCCTGCCTATCATTTTTCTCTATAAAATGTGTATATACATATAGATATTTAATTTTTTTCAGTGGCCCTAGAGTTCTAAGAGTTAAAATTCCTTCAGAATTGCATTAGCATTATAATTTTAGTGATACACAATTGATGAAAACATATTTTCATAACTTCTATATATAACTAATTATTTTGGAAATGTTTCCATTAATGTTATGAGTAGACCTTCCCCCCTATTTAGTCTGTGTATCCATAAATGAATATTATTTATCACTAGAATAAGACAGACTTTCAGCATTAATTTTATTCATTTTTTTGCTTACATACAATATTCACTGAGAACACTTTTTATACAAATAAGTAAATAGAAATGGAAGGTATTTTGTTATAGCAGTGTCACTCAAATCTTTGAATTCCTTCTGAATTATAAGCCAAAAATACATACAGTAATTTATTATCAAAATAAAATATATACATTTTTAATATATTTAAGCTGACAATTTGATTAGGTCACCTTTCAATTTTGTTGAAAGCAAAGCATTGGAAAACACCTGACCTGCAAAAGAACTTGTAGTCTAATCATTAACAATCACTCTGTGTAACTTCAACACCAATATTTTGAACTGTGGTTAGTTTAATACCCTAGATGTCTTCACATACCCCCAAAGCAAAGCACTGAAGTAAGATAACAAGTGGGAGAAGTGTGATTAGGAAAAGAGAGATGGGAAAAGAGCCCAAGGGCCATTTTCAGGCAGACCCATTTAACAAAAAGTACTTTTGGAAATTGAGGATCCAGCAAAAGATTCCCTAAAAACTGTCCTTGTTTCCACATTCCTTGAAAAGTCTTTGCGAAAGGTCACATACCTCAGTTTGAAGATCATTACACTAAGTATTTGGACACATTGAAAGAATGCATTACTTTCAAGAAGACCTCAACAATAACACAGAGAATTCCAGAGTCCTGAAATTGATCTCAATCTTCTGAAATACATGGATTCACTCCAAATGTAGATGCAGCCTGGCTTAGAGCAGCTATAGCAAGGGTTAAGGTGAAACAGATGTAAAATGGTCATAACAAACAGTACAAAAAGATGTGGATGATCTTTAAAGCCTACAAGTTTCACTATCATGATTTTGCCTGCACTTCTCAACTTATTTTAGTTAGTGGAATTATTATAATGTTCTCAAGAGTTACACTGGGTCAGAAAGGACCAGAAGGTCTTCATTCTGTAATTTTTGTGGCCACTACCAAAGTCAGCAGAAGAGAAATAGGAAAGTATCTCTCTCTCTCTTTCTGTAATATGAAAATAATTGCTTCTACTCTTGGAGATCTGGCTTAATTAAACTAATCTGATTTTCTACTGGTAAAGCTAACATTAAAATGCTATTGCTCTGGGTTCTCTAATTATAGAACAATCACGCTTTTTCTTAACAGATACTAAAACCAAATGCTATAATGTTGGATGAGGTCATTGTGAATGGCGTGTTATAATGCCTATTTTGAGGTATCACATGTATTTCAGTGATCATCATGCAGAAAGCTACAGAAAGTTTACTGCAGGAAAAAAAAAAATGAATTGCTACTACAATTAATCTAAACAGATGAGATTCCACAAGTTATTTCCTAAGATGTTCACTGGCCATAACTATCTGTTCTTCCACCACAAATTTCTTAACCTCAACCCCTTCCCAATTTCCCTTCTTAGCTACCCCTTCTTCATTTTCTTCCCTGTATAGTCTGAATGCAACGTCCAAGCCTTTTGATGGATACTCTCACCAGCACTCTGAGCCCCCTTACACCCTTAAATGTCTGCCTATCCACTCTGCCAAGTCACAGCCTAAACAACCATCTGTTCTCTCTACTACTGCTCCTAGTTTTCCAAGCACTGCTGGAGAAATTGTATAACTGCTGATTCATGCCATGACAAATCTGCAGTTCCCAAACTCACCTTGACCTTTAGCACTACTTGGCAATCCTTTCACTCTTGCTTGGTTGGCTCCCTTTGCCACTGTTCGGATGCTATTTCAAATCTCAGGACATTACTCTTTTAAAGTTTCCTACCTTGCTTCCTCAGTTAACAGATGACCTAACATTAGTGTTCAATTTCCCTTCTTTCTATTTCTAATGGCCAACTATAGCTTCAGCCTTCCTACTTCTGCCCCAGAGTTAATGTAGTGTGCCAATGATATCCTTGTAATACTGTTTTTTTTGTTGCTGTTTTAATATCTTAAAGTCTGCATATATTATGAGAAGATTAATTCTGTTTTTGTAAGTCATATTCCAGGTTGAAGAAATGGCCATCGGAATGTTAGGAAATAAAAGAAGCTGATTGGCTCTGGCAAAGAGCACATCAGAATAGCAAGTGTTCTTCCACTTTCAATCATTCACAAGCAAGGACAGAAAGGAAGGTGAGTTGGGATGCTGCTTGCCTATTAAATGTTTTAAAATTCTAACATAATTCCAACCAAATGTCACAACATGAAATTTAAAGAGGTCATGCTTTAGTGTTCAATGCCCTTTTTGTCCTCTACTATTTACTACCACCTGCCACATATGCAGTCCAAAAAGCTACTACTAATAATAATTAGTCCACTTGGTTCCTTTTTTTAACCATGTGGATTTGGCTCGCCTTCATTCAATCCAAACTCTTCATGAGAATTCCTAGGGCAACCAGTGTGAATTGTTTGTACTTGGATTGTAATTGGTTATACTTTACCTGATACAGCTGTTCTAATTTAATATCATATTATACTAGCTATCATACAAAACTTACAAGTGACACATACATGCTTTAGAAAAAGTATTTGTTGATACTGCATAATGAGAAGTTTTTATCAAGAAGATACTTAGAAGAGACATGTATCATATCCAACCAGGGGCAGATCCAGGTTTTGTGAGACCCTGAAGTGTATATAATTTGGGTGGTTCTCTCTTTCCAAAAAAGAATGCAAAGTTATGATAAAACACAAGAGAAAGGGCCTTTGGTAGAGGTCTGTGAAAATGAAGGTCTCTAAAGCTTAAGCTTCATTAGTTTCAAATAAATCAGCTTTTTTATATTTGACTGCTAACTTAGGGCATTAAAAATCCTCATACCCAAATAAACCAAAAATACACTGAAATAGGACATGAACCAGGAACATGACATAATATTACATTTCATTCTCATAATAAACCTTTTGTATTTGCCTTCTCATTTTTACTAAAGTAGTAACTGAAGCTCTGACAATTTAGTAACTTACAGCTCACAGCCTAGAGTGAAGGTGAGATACAAATCAAGACCTGATAAATAAATCTTGTGTTATTTCCACTGCAATACTCTGCCTTTAAGATTTCCCAAAAGACAGAGGGTTTAAGCTGATTTGGAGACTACACCTAGAAAATGCTTGGAAATGTCCGTTAATACTTGAAATTACGTGACTTAAGTCACATTTGAAAACATCACTAAAATTACTCCCCTACAACTTTGTTTAAAGGGCATGAAGAAATAAATGTATAACTGTTGGGGTTTTCTTCCGCTCATTAAGTAACACAGATAAAAACAAGAAATCTTAGGGTCTAGGAGAAAGGTGAGGAAAGGAGAGGCAGAATCAGAATCTAATAAGGAGAGGAAAGTGGAGGCAGAATCAGAATCTGGATGTATGTCTAGAACTACAGCCTCTCAGGAAAGAGCCTGGGTGTAGGAGGACATACAGTATGGATCTTTCACAGCTACATCCCCTTGCTACATGTCCAATATCAGCCTGCCTTCCCATTGAGTTATATTGTTTAAAAAATAGGAAAACAGTGTTCTTTGCCACATATATAATATTACTTAATATTATATCTATACCTTGTATTTGCCAGTTTGGCCTCTATTATTTAAAAATGTCTCTTAAAGGTATCCTCCCCTCCTCCTAAGACCCCGCAGAAGGTAGATAGATGCTTTGTCTTTATCTTTTCTTCCCTCACAGAATCCAGCACTGTGCCCCACAGAGAGTAGGCATTGCCATGGAAGATGATGTTGATGAGTTCGTTTTTATAGGCCACCACTTTCTAACATAATAGGAATCCTATAATATAGATATTTTGTGATTCTATACTATTCAATCAAAGATTTCAGAATAAAATTTTTGGCATTGGTTAAAGCTGAGAACATGCCAGATGCAATTACCAGTATTTTTAGTCAATAAACTGTCACTAATGTTGGAGTTACTTGAAAGACCTGATGATTCTATGGTTGTAGGGCCATTGTGACCTCAAGCCGCAGTTAAAAATCAGTCCAATGCAACAGGAGTTTCAAGAACATCAGCACAAAAATGATGACAACTGAATGGAACCAAAAGGCACATATTTTCAAGAAGACCTCTTTATCTTAAAAGTAGACATTTCCCCTCAAGATGACAAGTAGTTCAAGCTCTCCAGGTTCTCACTTGCCCTCCAAAACAAGGTGAGTCTTTGACAGAAGATACTAAGTAGTAATTATCCAGGAAGCAAAAGAGGGTCTCTATTGACCCAGACTAAAGGCAGATGTTATGGTGTCTCTTCCCACAGAAATTCCAAAATAGATTACAACTACTTGAAGGAATTGAATGAGGACTTAAAACTAAGAAAGCTGGAACTGCTAGAGATGCAAAAACCTCTTGAAAATAAGAACAACCTCTTATTCCAGAAGTTAATGTCAAACTTGGAGGAAAAACAAAGAAGGTAATGGTTCCCTATGGAAGAATCCTAAAGGGAGAAAGCCTGGAGAACTTAAATCCATAGGATTAGCAATGTTTATTTACATTTTTAAAAAAGGTTTAGACATCCAGCTATAAAATTTGTACTCATAAAATCAGAATGGCAAGGAATCCTTTATTTTCTTTTAGTAAAATTAAATATGACTCAGCCTTCATCTCACAGGGTTACAGTTATTGCTCTTTTTTAATAGGGTATCTACTCAAGAAACAGATAAGAGGCTTTAATATCTTCAGCTTATCATGGCCACACTGATAGCTCCTTATTCATGTTTGTGGAATCACTTTAGAATAGATGGCTCTGCTCTTCCCATGCCAAGCAGTGGAATGGCAATCTTTTCTGAGCCTGGAGTCTGGCTTCTCTAAGCAGCATAGTAGGCAGCTGAGGTCTTAACACTTCACTTAGATACTCATGTTCTTGGCATCCACCAACTCTCTGTTTCCTTTCTAGTCTCGGGCAATCTTACCTTAATTCTACCTTCATTCTCTACCCTTATCATAAGCATCTCAGGAAGCTCAGATTTTTGGAAAACAAATACCAGACAGAAAGTTGTGGTCAAGCAAATCCAGAAATTCAGACTTCTCTCAGGGCAACAGAACACAAAGTCTTGCTTCTCTACTTGTAATTGGAGAGAAAATAGGGCAATGAATATAAACATTACTAATGCCATTAAAAGATGTCTTCTCTCACAGTCCAAGACTTGCTATTGATTCAGATTTTGTTATAAACTTCTTGATAGCTTCACTCTCTGGGGGCTACCATAAGGATTTAAGTTGTTTCCCCAACTAAGTCAAATGTCTTTATGTGGAAAAGGAAGGCGGGGGAGATGGACAGTTACAAGGTAGGGAGTAATTCTGGGATTTATCCTGAAGACAACATGTTCTTTGACTGAATTCCTTCTTCACAGGGGCAAATCTGCCCCTTGAAACCCCAAAAGTCATACACCAAAACATTCTTTGGACAGGGTGGAGAGGAGTTTCACTGGCTGTTGAAGACCTACGTTTTGAGCATTATAGAACACAGAATTCATTATAGAGCACATAGCTAAGGCAATTAGGAATGGAGCCAACCTACAAAGACCTGCTATATCCAGATGGATTTTCATAATTCCTGTGACTTCAGCACCCATCTCACTTCCATAGTAGAGTACTTTCTGACTGGTTGCAAAATATTAATATTACTCTTCAGGAAGTGTTATTACCTCTCTCTTCCTTCTAGTCTGCAGATCATGAGGCAGATCATGTCAGGGAAGGGGAGTGAAGAATCCTCAGTCATGGAGCTCATTAAGGAAGCAGAGGAGATGAAGCAGAATCTGGTAAGAGGTTGATGGGCACTTCAGGGAATGGCCTCCTGAACAGAGATCAGTTCCATTGCTGTTGTCAGATGTGGAAGGAAAGACATAGTGCTCATCTCTAGTATCCTATGCTTCAACACTTATATCTCCTTGATTTACAAAGTCCAGGATGATCCAAAGGAAGTCAGATACCATGCTGGGTTTAACTTTTTAAAAAACTTTTCATCTAGTAGGTAATGAAAACAAGCATATTAACCCTTCACATTTCAGGGGGAATAGAAAATACCTACCAAAATAAAATAAATAGTATACTCTGAAAGAGTCTTATAAGATTTTTAAAAATCAACAATGTGAAAGAGCTGAAAAACTAGAAATTAGTAGCCTTAGCTCCAGAGAAATTGCCACGTGATAAGAATATTTTAAATAGTATGTGCGAGGAACTCATTTCTATTGATACCATACCATAATCACAATTAAAGTTATTCAAAATTGTTATTTTTTTATTGTTGTCATCATCATCAAGGTTCCTCTCATCTCATCTCTTAGGTTCCTGGGCTAGGCTTATTTATTGCTTTCTTCTGTGATTGAATATGTCCCTGTACCCCTCTTCCCCTATTACTTAAAAATTTCTTCCAATTTCACTTTAATGACGGACAAACACATTTCTGTTTGTTTGATTGCCTCCCCACCCCCCAACAGGAAAGGAAAAACAAGATGCTCCGGAAGGAAATGGAGATGCTATGGAACAAGGTGTGCCTCTAGGGATCTCTTGAAAGTATTGTCGTACAGACTACAATGCAAAAAACTTCCCTTTCCTCTGGTCCTTGTCCTCATTTTTTTCATGTCCCCACTTACACTCATGCCTCATTCCAATTCATTCTTTGCACAGCAGCCAAAGTGATATTTTTAAAACAATCAAATCATATCGTTCTTCTTATGAAAACGCTTTACAGATGCTCCTTATTGTGGCATAATCTGGCTCTTGCTTACCTCTCTAGTCTCCTCTCACAGAAGTCCTGCCCTTCCACGCTGGCCTCCTTGTGGTTTCTCAAATATGCCAAGGCTTTTTCTATCTCAAGGCTTTTGTTCTTGCTTTATCCCTGGCCTATGATGGTATTCTCTTAGGGTTGGTTCATTCTCATCCTTCAGGTCACTGATTAAATGTCACCTGCTCAGGGAGACCCTCTTTGTTTACCCTATCAAAAATAGGGCAATGCCTGCCCCCTTCTTTCTACTATACAACTCCGTTCATGTCCTCCATAGCACTTTTTATAATATAACATTATTATTTTATTTTACTTTATTGTTGTTAGTTTACTTGTTTTTTGTCTACCTGCCTGCCGCCACCCCCCGGAATAGCAGCTCCAGTATCTTGATTGCATTATCCATCTCTGAATCCCTAGCATATAGTACAATGCTTGGAACACAGTACACAATCAATAAATGTAAACTGAATGAATGAGTAAGTGAGTGAATGAATACCTAATTCAAATTCTCCTATAATTTTGCAATAATTATTTAAGATAACAATAACACAGCCTTTTGCTGGAAAACCAGGCAGGGGTAGAAATCACTTGTGGACTAAGTACTTTGTATGCATGCTTTTTCAGGCTATGAGACCAGATGAGCAGGTTGTGTCTTGTGATAAAAACAGGAGTGTCATATGATTTCTGACTGCTTTTTTTTTATCTCACCTTTCCACAAATAATCAGGATACCATCAAGCCTTGCATCTCATACTGAGATCTGCTCCTAGTTCTCAGTGGCAGCTACAAATCAGTTCTATGGAGTGTCAGAAGTTTTAGTCCCCGACTTCCTGAGTCTTTGTGACAGGAAACGTGCCAGCACAAATCCTCTATCAAAATCCAGCTTTTCCACAGCTCCCAAAAGACTTTTTATAAGGGATGGCCATATGACTTAGCTTGTGATTGACTTTCCCTACACATATTTGTATACAGGGAGAAATGGAGAAAGCACAGTATGCCTAGTGCTTAAGAACATAGGCGCTGGAGTCTGAGAAATCTGGTTCGAATTCCAGCTTTGTGCTTTCCTAGCTTTGTGCCCCCAAACAAGTGACTTAACCTCTCTAAGTCTCAGATTTCTCATCTGTAAAATGGAAATAAAATAGTCTTGTAAAGATTAAAGGAGAATGTTTGTAATGTAGTAGAGTAAGTAAATGGCTTATAGCAGCGATTGATATATAATAAGGGTTCAGTTAGTAGTTATTATTATGATAAGGTAAATTCAAGGGACCAAATGGAAGAGTTTGCTCTATTCTGAACTGCCTTTACTAGTTCACTTTTCATGTTGGGCCCTGAGCGGTTGCTGACTGACAGGAACCAAAAGCCTTGACCCATATTGGCTTTCCACTTCCCTTACTAATTCCTGCTAATTTAAAGCTTTGCCAAAATGTCTCTCTACAGACATTCAACACAGAAGAACTGAGTGATCAACAAAAAACACCACAGATGAAAAACAAAGCAAACCTGCAGGATGAAAAGGCAAGTAGAGTTCATGGTATTAGAATTTAAAGACTGTTGATGCCACAAAACTGGAAACAGCCTGTTGACAGTCACGGCTATTTTGGATAGGCAGATAGGCAGGATTTGGGCCTTTAGGATATATTGGATTGACTGTCTGCTAAGGCATTGCACTTGTTTCCTGGGACCTCCTATTCCTTTAGCTCTCTTTTTCCATCCTAGGCTCCTCAAACCTCCTCATTGCCTAGGAAGACCGAGAATGAATCGGAGGCATCATATACAGAGAAAGCGAAGGAGATAAGAAAGGTAATATGAACTTTCTGAATGGCATTGGCTTTTAGAGCTGACAGATTTGATATCTTTAATGTATCAGTAATATGCCTAAACTATAGTGTGCTCCTGAACTGATGCAAACATTTATAGATCTGATTCCCTTGTGATATTATATTTGAGTCAAAGTGACACTGCAGTTTCTGGGAAGTCGTGTTAGCTAGGGCAAAGTGAGAGAAGCTGTGCCAACAATGACAACTTCGCAATAGCTCTGTGACATCAAAACACTTGTTAATTTGTTTTTGAACATTTATTTCGAGGTATTATGCTTGTATGTAATCTTCTCTCAGCCAACTCATCCATAGAAAATGATCCTATTTATTTAAATTTTAACTTTTGGAGAGTGGATTGTGAAGGTGAGGCCAATTAATAGGACTGTGCAGTTGAAAACAATTTGTTAGTGAATCTATGACACCATAATTTTACTATAAAGTTTTTGCAGCATATTGAGAAAACTGATTATTGATCTCATTTTACTTTGTCACCCAGAGGCTCTTTCTTCCACCAGGAAAAGCAACGGAAGAAAATAGAATGGATCAGGTATCAGGAACAAGCCAACAACCTTCAGGTATTAAAGTCTTCCCAGGTTAGACGTGGGTTACAATTTCATTCATACAATATAAAGGCTTTTTGTTTCATGAATTAAGCCCAATCCCTTCATCTCAATTACCAATTGTTCTGCTAAAAGAAATCTTAACATGGGGAGATGGCTAGAGAGAACTGTCTCCAGCTTCACCATGAGTAACTTGGGGGTAAATAGCACTTTTTCCTATGGTCTTGATTTTGTCCTCTTTGAAATGGGGGAAAAATCACAATACTTCCTTCCCAATTTTTAAAAACTAAGTATGATGGGATCATTTTTAAACTTCTGAGTAAAAAGGATTCAGGTGACAGTGGTTTTAGAGAAGCCAATAATAATATGTGAGTAGTTTTGAAAAATGTTCTCTTGTAGAATGACTTTAATGGAAAAGTGATTGAGCTCAGAATTGAAGCTTGGAAGAACTACCAGAAGGCCAATGACCTGATATTATCACTGTACTTACAGCCGAATTTTGAGCCAAAGCAGGCATTGTTTTAATCTTCTTGGATTCCAAGGAGGTAGGTACAGTTTTAAAGGTATGCAGTTGGAGGTTTTGTTTTGTTTTACTTTAGAGATTCCATTACATGTAAAGTGATGAACACAATATCTGGCACATAGTAAGTTAAATGTTAATAGTGTTATAATACATGTTATCACTATCATCATTATTATTACTCAGAAGCTCTCATACAAAGGTAAAGATTCCTCTGGAGGAGATGAATTTTCTTTTATAATAACTAAGTAATACATTATGCACTTAACATATACAGTTGATACATAGTTGGCACTTGATAAAATATTAGTTTCCTCCCCACCCTTCCCCTCTCCCAGGAAGTAAAGTAGTTTGATTTCATGAATCTTATTGGCATAGACTCTGCTACTTCAGGACAGAAGGCCAAGGAGATAGACATCTGACAATGGTTGTGAGTTTCACCAGTCCAGATATTCCCCTGGGAGTTTCAGTGTTTTCCCCCAAAGAATTTATGGCACCACTGCAGGAAATCATATAGTTTGCCGTAAAGAAGAGAATAAAGGAATAGTTGCCGAGGAACAGAAGAAAGTTCTTAAGTTTTCAGGGATCTACAGATCTGAATGCTGTCTTTTAAAGAAGAAACATAGAATGAAAAATCATTGCTAAGACATGACAATGGTTTTTTTTTATCAGTATCAGTAATGTGTATCTCTAATTTTTTCTCGATCATATTCCATATAGGACTTGAACAGTTTACAAAATAACACATAGCACATAGGATTACATAAATAGGTGAATACATCAATGCAAAAGGAAAATAATTTGAAGACAGGTAAATACATGAAAATGTATAATGCAAGTACTACATAGTTGGTAGAGGCAGGCTTCAAACTTAGTTCTAGATTTTCCCAAAAAAGAAACTGAATTTTGATGTTAAGAAACATCACCAATTGGTCAGGAGAACCATAGCTTTTATTGGTACTGAGACCAGAGGGAAATTTCTTTCTAGCTCCCTATCACGGGGACAAGACACTCTCTGTGCATTATAATAGCTAGTGTCCACAAGCAAATGTGGGTCAGCCTGGTCTGCCAGCCGCCACCTTCCCACTCTAGTCCTCGAGCAACTGCCTTGCCTTGAGTCCTCTCCACCAGGCTGCCTGTCTCCGCCCTTCCTACCAGTTTGAATGAATATTTCTTCTTTAATTCCTTGGTTGTCAGACTTCTATACAGTTTGAATTTCTGTTAGTTCTGATTGTTTTTTGTTTTTAAATTTGTTGTTGTCCTTCTTTTGGTTGTGTGAGAAGACATAGTATATCTACCTACATCTCCATTTTGGCCAGAAGTCTCCTATAATAGCTAGTGTCCGCAACAATATTTCTAAAATGAATTCAGAATATAAATTTCCTAGGCTATTTCTTATCAGTTACTTGGCACTACCTGATAAGAAATTATTAATTCAAAATTTTAAAAAAATGATGAATCAGTTCAAGATGATTTGGTCCAGGTACATAGCACTCTGTTGGTCTGACTTGATCCATAAGTAAAATTTAGAAAATCTAGAAGACTGGATGGACTACCTATCCTTCAGGCAGTGTTCCATTCATATTTTTCATTTAACTATTGTTTTGATAAGAATTGGGTACAGAAATTTTGAGGTTTTCTTCTCTAGTAAGAACCTGGAATACAGCCAGAAGTCATTGAGATACAAATGAAAATGATAGAGGAAATAAGGGTTATGAGGAAGACAATTTCATTTAAAATTAGTTGAGGGTGATCTTGAGGGATCTACGGCATAAGGGACCAAAAATCCTTTTAATTTCAGGTTCAATCAAGCCAAAATTAGCAATGAATGAATGATTCCATTCAATTTGATCATCTCAGATTTTTTTGTCTTGCTTTTAAAACTTTGAGTCTTTGAACTTTGAACTAGTACAGATCAACATCCTTTTTTCTCTTTGTTCTTCTCTATGCTTCTGGAGAACTGATAGGGCACCAGACTGTTTAGTTACTGCAAATTATCATAGCCCCAAGGATGAGTGATGCACTGCTCCTGTGTTTTATTGATTGTGCATTCATTGAGCATGGGTTATAGGCCAGTTTCATTTTCTTTTCTTTTTTTTTTTTTACTTTCTTTTTTTATTTTTTATTATTTTATTATTTTTTATTTTAATCATTGTTCAAGCAGTTTTCTGCCTTTTACTCCCATTCCAGCCCGCCCACCCATCCCTCCCCAGTTCCCTCCCATTACCACCTCCCCTAGTTTTTGTCCATGTGTCCTCTAAATTTGTTCCTGTAAACCCTTCCCATTCTCCCCTGAAATTCCCTCTTCTCTCTCCTCTGGTCACTGTCAGCCTGTCCTCTATTTCAGTGTCTTTGACTGTATTTTGCCTGTTTCTTTGTTTTGTTGTTTAGGTTCCTGTTAAAAGTGAGATCATATGGTATTTGTCTTTGACTGCCTGGCTTATTTCGCTTAGCATAATGCTTTCCAGCTCCATCCATGCTGTTGTGAAGGGTAGGAGCTCCTTCTTTCTTTCTGCTGCATAGAATTCCATTGTGTAAATGTACCATAGTTTTTTGATCCATTCATTTACTGATGGACATCTAGGTTGCTTCCAGCACTTAGCTATTATAAATTGTGCTGCTATAGTTTCATTTTCTACTACACACATACACAAAATCTTTAGGTTTATCTGAGCCTAAGTGGGTCTCAAATCTAAGTCTTAGAGTTTGGTTATATTGACCTATTAATAACCTAGTGTTTGATTATTTAAAAATAAACAAAAGAAACATCAGTTTTCTTTATGTTAAGATTATTACTGACAGTGATACAACAGGAGGTAGTTTGTTGGTGCTCAGTGTTTCCCAACTTTTGTGTCCCTTAGATTTCATTATTCAATATTTCTGTTTAGATTAGCTTTTTTAATTTCTTAAGTGCATTACCTGAAAATAATATGTATATATTACTACTTTAAATGAAATTCCAGTGTAGTTATTAATAGTAGAAAGTTAACTTAATAGTAAGTACACAGAAAACAAAATTTTAATATTCAAACAAGATTTTGAAGCCTGAGGTATGTTTTATCTTAATTAAGAAATGAAATTAGCAAGATGTAGAAAGTTTTAAAGAAATCCAGTAACAAATTGAAACTTTCTCCTCGATGACATGAAGTTTGAGAGAAGTGAAAAGGGAATAATTTTCCCACTGTGATTTATAGTATTTAATGCATCTAGCACCTCCTATTGTAGATTTATCTCAGTTGCCACCTAAATCATCTCACCATCAAATTTTATGAAATAGTAATTTAATGTGAAAAGCACTAGGTTGAGTCATATATATGACTTGAAGGTCTTACTCTGAGGCTAGTTAACCAGTTAAATAACTTGGGCAAGCCATTTAGTTTCATCTTTTAATATAAAACAACCACAACATATTATAGAGCATGTTGAAAACATAAGGTTTTGTTTAACCCTCACAATGACTCCAATGGGTAGTTATAGAACAAGAAACAAGTACAGAGAAGTTAGGCTTCTGACTCCATAGCCAAAGCTCATCTCCTAGAATATGCTATAAAATGGCAGTATTAAAGTATGTGATTTCTCACAACTCCTCCACTTCTACAGGCTATGGCTTGAACTGAAACTTATCACTTGTTTAATGTATAAATTTCCAAATGAAGAACCATACGTGCTAAGATTTGTTCAGTAATAAAACGGTTCCAGTAGATCTTGACAGATATGTAATTGTGCACACAGCCCAGTAGGTGGCACCAATCTCGTCCAGCTGTCTAGTCCACAAATCCTGGTAATTCAGGAAATACTGTTGGGAGAGACTGGCCTTCTGTTTAGGACAAAATGTGCTACATTTATATATCAAATGAAAACACACACACACACACATACACACCTATTGATGTTTTGTGCCATGCTCTGTGGCACTGATGTCTGTTACTGGCAGCCTTGAGTAGACCATATTAAACTTTGGTATTTGGCTTCACAATCCTTACCTATTACTGGACTCCCTCCATTCCAAAAAACAGTCACTGCCCACTTCTTCCACAATCCCGATTGGGTTTGGGACACTGAGTTTAAAAAATCAGGCAATTGTACAAGAGGTGGTAAATTTTTGAAGGTTGAGTATTCAGTGCTTAATAGTGTTCCTGGATAAGGTTTCTTCTCTTCTAGTTTCAAAAGAATTGAATTTCACAATCTGTCTTAAGGGAAGGTGAATTGTAATTTTGGACACAGCTCCCAGAAAATCAAGGTACTGACCCTTCTGTTCTAGGCATTTCCAAGAAGAGAGAAACCCTACTTCCACATCAACTGTCCTGTGTGCTGGTTGGCTGCGTCTCAGGGGTGTGACCTATTTGGCTGGCAAAATAAAATTCTGTGTTAATAATACTGACTTTGTTATACTTCAAGCAAACACTACTTGCAAATTCCCTTGAGGACCAGGTTACAATATTACCTTTGCAGGCTTATCTGTTTAGCATACTGCATCACCTAGTCTTAGAGAGGAGAAAAACATTTTTATACAGAGGGTAAAGTCTTTCCTTTTAGTCTTCCCAGAAATGGGTCACATTTGAAGGGATTTACTGCCCCACCAGGGTAAAATTACAATCTGAACCACAGTGTATGGCAGTCCTTCCCTGGCTTCAGCAGAGTTGAGAGAACAGTTTGTCGTCTTTGGCAGTCACCTGTCTTCAAGAACACGAAGTAATCTTTAAATTCAGCTGAATTCCCCATCATTCATGCTGGTGTATAAAGAAGAGGTTTATCTTTAGTAATAATAGAAGTGGTGATAAGACATTTGATTCTGACAGCCTTGATTTTTTCTCCTCTAACCCTCCTCAAACTCTTAGCATTTACTTGAGCTCTTTTCAGAAGCTGAAGGTTGGATATGAATATTTTGCTATATTTATAAATTCAGATGAAAGTCCAGTGAGGTGGGAAATGATACTCTTGAGACCTTATTTATTCTATAACTTCCTCTGTTCTGAAAGCAAGTCATTTTTCCCAGCTTTAACCTTTACTTCACTTTAGTATTACTCTTCCTGATGGCTGAAATGCACTCCAGCAGGTGCTGTTGAAAGGAAAATAGCAGTGTCAAGCTAAAATGCTGAAAGGCAGTGGTGAAAACCCATGGCTAACTTAAAACTGGGTCCTTGATAAATAGCATTGTTCTCAAACACAGAATTTTTTAAGCTTTGAGGCAACTTGATGTCCAAGTTAAGTTTATGGCATTAGCAGATTATGAAGTTAATTTCTAAACTTGGCCATTCTTTCGCTTCAGATGAAACCCCACAGAATTCCAGGGGGATAATAAAGGTTCTCTTTCAAAAATATAAATTTTAACAATTTTTTAAAAAGTAAACTGTACCTTTATTAATATTATTAACATTATAATTATTTCAATGAGTGATAATAGATTCAAAACTCTTTTGCATCACACACTCAGGAGAGCAGCAGGATGTCTGGGATAGGGTTATCATGTTTAGCAAATAGACAGTGGATGTCCAGTTAAAATTGAATTTTAGATAAACTATAAATTTTAGTATAACTATGTCCCAAATATTGCATGAGACAGACATATTAAAAGTTACTTGGTGTTTATTGAAATCCAGATTCAACTAGGTGTCCTATATTTTAGTCTGGCAACACTAACCTTGGACAGATTGATCACAGAGCCTATTTAGCTCCCTATACTTTTCCCTGTCTCCTCTTTTTTTCCCTCCCCCTTTTATCGCCTCCCTTCTCCTGTCCTATCCCAGCCCGTGTCTGTTATTCTCTCTGCCTCCTCTTTCTCCTCCCCACTCGTACCTTTATCTTTGGTTTGTTCTTCACTGTCTACAGTTGGCCACTTTTGTGAAATACATATCTGCATTATTGGAGGGTGTGAATATATATGTGTATGTGTGAATTAACATCACATTTCTTCACATAAAATTTGTACTAGAACTACATTTTGTAGCTTCTCAAATAAAATTGTTTGCATGTAATATTCAATGATTTTTTTTCCTGTGGGACATGAGCTCTCAACAACAGAAAAAGGTTCATCACTCCAACTTTAAATACTATTTGATAAAGTTATTTTTCTTAGACAACAGTTAGGAAATCCATATTAATGGTAATAAAAGAGTCAGTCCTACGGTCACATGATGATATAATACTGTGATGAGGCTTAATAGCCTTGCAACCCAAAATAAAACTAGTTTTTTGGTTTGTTTGTTCTTAAAGAAAGCTCTAATTTTCCTAATGTTTCCCTTCAGGTACTATGGGCACTACAACTGTGGGCAGAGGAACTACGGGAAAAAAATTAATCTAATGTGGTGAGAACTACTCTCATTTTCAAAATCACTTTAAAGTCTTGAAAAGTCATAGATTTTTGGAATGCATTTGTTAGTATACATTCTAATTTAATCTTTTTAAGGGATTTGCAAAGTAAGTGCCAGGGCACTTGATGTTATAGCTGTATTTTTTTTCTTCTTTTTTTTCTTTCCTGCTTCAGAAAATCCTGGGATCAAAGACCTATACAGAACAACAAAGAATTAAAGGAAGTCAGTTTGATGATGTAGGAGGCAGGCTCTTTTTTCTGAGGTCACTGCCAGATGAATGAATCTCTGAAGGACTGAAGGCTTTCACTCCATTTGCTTGGACAACAGATTTAAGGACTAGGCATAGCCATTTGTGCTCATTAAAATCTCTCAAACCTTTGTTTTAGTACTGTTTCCCCTCTCGCTCCCCACCAAAATGGGTGGAAATGCCAGTTAGATGCTCATCTGTAAGCACTTTAGGAATTTAGTCCTGTATGGATTGTAAAACAGCCTCTGATTATTTTGATAGCTTTTTATTTTGAAATGGCAAGATTCAAACCACATTGTATATTAAGACCATAAAAAACTGCTCATCTTCATCTCTGAAATGTTTAATTCTGGGCAAATCCATCACTGAAAAATGAAAACAAGTAGGCACAAAATAAGGAAAATCATACTCACTAGGCTCCTCTTACCCTCTCACCAACCACATCCTAGCGCTCAGTTGATTCCGCCTCCTAGTTATCTATTCCTTGAATATCTTCTATCCTCCTGGTACTGCTGCTTTAGTTCAGGCCCTCTTTCCTGCCTAGGTTACTACAGCCTCTTAATTGGTTTCCCTGCTTCCAGTCCCTCTAATCCATCTTTCACGGCACCACTAAGTGTACCTTTTCTGAAAAAGAAATGAGATCATGTCACTTCCCACTGATTTTAGTGTAAAGTCCAAACTCATTCACAGACCATATAATAACAATTTGCCTTCTACCTATGTCCCCAGGCTCATCTTTCACCAGATTCTCCTTCCCCGTATATCCTACATTGAACTTTGCAGAACTATTTGCAGTTCCCTTGATGCATTATGAGTACTATTATCTCCATGCCTACTCACAAAGCTGTTCCTCTGCCTGAAAGATTCTTCTTTCCTTGTCTGCTTGACCACTGCCTGTTTATCCTAAGGGTTGAGTTTGGTGCCCATCTTTTATCCCAGTAATTCCCAATCCAAGTTGTGTATTAGAATCTGCTTAGGAGCTTTTAAGAATACCAATTTATTGGGCTCCAGATCATTTAAATCATGATCTCTGAGGAACAGGGCGAGAACATCTACATTTTTAAAAAGCTCCCTGGGAAATTCTTAAACGCAGCCAGGTTTGAGAATCACTGTCCTAGGCTCTCTGACTTCTATCACAGTACTTAATGAACTATATTGTAATTATTTGTTTACCCAGTTATCTCCCTCATCAAATGGTAAGCTCTTTGAAGCCCAGGACTGTCTTGTTCTTTTCATTTTTTCAAAAATACTTAATTTGTTTATTTTTAGAGAGAGGGAAGGGAGGGAGACAGAGAGGGAGAAAAACACTGATGCGAAAGAAACATCAATTGGTTGCCTCCCATCGGCCCCCCCCCCCCCCCCCCCCAACACACACAAAGGGACCAAATTCGCATTCCAGGTGTGTGCCCTGACCAGGATTCAAATCATCAAGCCCATGACCTTTCACTTTGCAGGATGACGCCCAACCAAGTGAGCCACATAGGTCAGGGCCATCTTTTCATTTTGATCACCTAAAACAGTGCCTGAGATTTGACAAAGGCTCAGACATTGCTTAATGCCACAGAAAGTTAATTGCAAAGTCCCAGGTTTCTTGACACCCTGTCTTATGTCAATCTACCAATACTGGATCATATTGTAGTCCCTGAGACCTTCAGATTTTTTATTTATTCTGCATAGGTGTCACTAAATTTCTATCTCATGTCAACATGGGGAAAGTTGATGTGTTACAAAACACTTTGTAACCTATAGAAATCCCTTTTAAATTCTACTAATGAGCAAAGCAAGCCACAATTAAAAATCTTCTTTCTCCCAAAGTCAATTTAAATTTTAAAGGTGTATTTTAAAGTGCATTTTCTTAATGTACTTTTGGACTAGAAAAATTAATACAAAATCGTGAAATTTGGACTTTAGAAGGGACTTGAAATAAGCATGAAGTTTCTTTACAGAAGAGGAAACTGGAGTTGAGGTATGTTGAAAGAATATCCAAAGTTCTACAGTTAATGGGGGCTGTTAACAATTACTCTGATTACCACAGCCAATCTAACTCATATTTTGCCTCCCTTGACCACAAAAATAACAGGCCCTGCAGCCCTGAGATTATTAGTTTCATGTTCTACCAACTGAGTTAGCTGAGAGTGTAATACACATTCTGTTTTAAGAAAGTTAGCAGTCCTGATTTTTCAAGTCAACTGGATTAGACAGAGAAATGAGAACAAAAATTAGGAATATAAAATCTGACTGTACCACTGACTACCTTGAACAAATCATTTAATCTTAGGGGCTTAGATTCCCAATTTAAAAATCATATTAAAAGATCACCATTTGAATGTTCAAAATTATCTGTTGTTGTTTTTTTAACTCCTTCAATGGGTTTTGATGAGTACCTTACCTTTATTCCTTATCTTTTGAACTATATTGCAATTATCTGTTATTGCTAATTATTCATTAACTAAGGCATGAAATAAGCTAGTTTACTTGCTAGCAGAGACTATAACATCTTGAAAAATGAGTCATTTACCATCTTCAAAGTATTAAAATTGTATGTTCATGATCAGTCGGGCTTATCACCTTTCTTCAAATACTCTAAATCTTTCAATTTCTTCAAAACACAAAACTAAAATATTGTAGCTTTTAATTCTACCTTGTTTTTAAGACTTAATTTGGACTCTGATTATTACCTATATGGCAGTGCAAAGTTATCAGGGAGGCTGGCTATGCATGGATGTCTGTGATTTGATAAATCCAGTATATGGATCTCTGGTTTGCATGTACAAATTTGTTTGGTTTACTTACCCACCAGATCAGAGACTCATTCAAGCCACTCAAACTCCTAAGAGAGTCACTGACAAACCACATTAATTTAAATTACAGAAGGGGCTGTACTTTCCAATGAGGTTAGAATATGTCTATGTTTAGGGCATCCCGCATCTCAGAATCAAACTACTAGGGAAACTGAATTAGTAGTCAGAGAGTATTGGTGGAATTGAAATATCATTATTATGGTTTTATTTATACTCATAATATTCCAATTATGTTTTTCTGAGAATAAAGTTGCTGATACCCTTGACTGTAGTTGGGGAAACACTTTTCAATTTTAAGTTCAATTGAGAAAAAACTCTGTCCCATTAGCAATACATTTACAAACTGTAACGTTGGGTAGTTTTATTTTACTGGCTTATTTAATTTTATCTTGACTTTCTGGCTATTTATGAAATACTTGCTTACATTTCACCTCCCACAGTTACCTTTTTGCAATGACCTCAAAATGATTAGTAATGTTTGTCATACACTTCTTTCCTAAATGGAATAAGGCCAATACTTTCATCTTTAGTATAGAATAGCAGGCATCAAAGAGGACAGGTGACCATATGAAATATTATGCCTTACACTTTTAGACCGAAGCAGGAAACCCAACTTTAGCATTATTTGAATGAACTATGGCCACCTTAGGTGGTATCTACTCTTATAGGCAGAGGCTTCTGCAATTAGTTACATGCCAAGGCAAATTTCTAACGGCCCCTCTGGCACCTTGGGAAGAAGCTGCATTGCTAGCAATTCAAAGTCCCCATTGCTTCATATGGTCTGTATTTAGTCATCAAATATTAGGAAATGGGAAGAGAACAAAGTTCTGCATTTGAAAGGGATACTTGCTCTGCAACCAGTAAATCCCACATGACATACAGAAGTAGACAAATATGAAATGTAACTATTACAGGATAAAATGAGAATTTTCAGAACAACTGCTTCCTTCATAAATTCATTTATGCTTCCTAACATTTACTTAAGGTTCATTTTATGCTAAAACTCTGTTTGAACGTCCCATAAGTCATATTTTCTCTAATTATGAGTCGACCTGAGAGAAAATGAGATTATTTAGGTTAACAAACTACCACATTTTGTCATGTATAAAGTGCTCCCATGTACACTGAACACCTACATTTTTGGCCCAAACTTTCAGGAAAAAAATCTTTTGTCTTAATTTTTAATTCAATTATTTATTTATTTAAATTTAGATACTTTTTTTGTACTATAAAGGAATTTCAGCATTTATTTTTGAACATATGGATATCATTATTGTTTTCTAGAGTTACACTTCTAATGCATAAGCATAAATATAAGAAAAACATTTATACAGATATGGAATTAGTACTACCCACATATAATGTGCATCCTTATTTTTCCCTCAAAAATTTGGGCAAAAAAGTGCACATTATACACAGCAAAATATGATAATTTTCTTTGTATATATTGCTTTTATAGAGACAAAAATAATTTTCTAGGGGCGCTGGGATTTCAGTTAACTTTGATGACCTGGGAACCAATTAACAATAATTTAAGAAAAGCATATTTTTTATTTTTTAAGTTCACATAACTTTAATCCATGTCAGTTGAGCCTGGAACTTCCTTGACTTGTAGACACTGAACACTAAGAACTGAAGGCCTTGTAAATGGAGTCCTTTTAAGAAATCAAATAGCTTCTGGGTACTTGATGTTACTTTTCATTATCAACCTCCTTTCCCTTATCTAATAGTTCTTTCCTCTTTTGGCAAATTCTGTCCTTCCTTATAATCTACCCTTTCTTTGAATTAAGGGGGAAGAAATACCACTGCTTTCTTTAGAAATTAAAATTTTTTGTTCCTGTTTTTTTTTTTTCTTTTACCAGATAAGCAGCTATATAAATAAGCAGTGACCTTGTACATTTGTAAATTGTCAGGACATGTATGGAAGAGTTTCTCTATCTTATGAATATTAACATAAGATGATGAGGGTGATATTAAAGGTATAAATTAGAGCCCTCAGAAAAGAATGAAATCTTTAATAATGGTGGAGAGAGATGGGTCTCTGTAAGAAAAGTTGAATTATCTGGTAACCTATCAAGGTACTAGCCTTACATATAGTAACCAGATCCATCTTCCCTTGATCTTAGTTCATCTGTTCATCTTGCAGGGGACGGTTCATCTCCATCCTCTGGGTGAGTACATGATCAAGGCCAAAACAATCAGAAAATGCCACTCCTGTTGCCTTAGTAAGTGCTTTGGGGATGGGCTCATGACCTAAATCTATAGTTCTCAAGGTTTTGTCTCAAGACCCCTTTACACTTTAAAAATTATTGAGGACTCCAAAGCACTTTTGTTTATGTAGGTTATATCTATTGACATTTATAGATTAAGATGTTTTTAAATATAAAAATATACAAGCACATTCCATTAGCTATCAGAGTGATATTATACATCATGTAGCTTCTGGAAAATTCCCCTGTATCTAATGAGAAAATGAGAGTGGAAAGACAAATAATGCCTTTGTGTTACTGTGAAAATATTTTTGACCTTGAAGATGCTCTGAAAGGATGTTGGGGTGTCCAGTTACCCCAGAGAGACTCAAAAACTACTGATCTAAATTATAGCCTACAGAAATCAATACCATCTTCGCCATCATGTACAAAGAGCCAATGTGGGAGTTAAGTCAACAAAGAACAAAGCATAGCTGAAAGATGTCATCTTGTTGACATGGCTTCAGATCCTGAAACTAGCCAACCCTGAAGCTTTACACATGCTTGGACTTCCTAGTTTCATGAGCCATTGAATTTCTTTCGTCTTAAACTAGGATCAGTTACTTGGAACCAAAAACATCCCCATATATCTGAATTTCTGGATGGGTACCTCAGAGGAGGAGAGTAAGGGTGGAAAAAATACAAAGGACAAGGGCGCAAAATAATTATTCAAGCAGCAATCTGCACAGAACAAATAGATATCAAAAGTGCAAGGAAAGTTAAAGTTTATTTTAAACATGGAAGACACTGGAAAATATTGTCCTAGTTGTTCGCAAATCAGTGCCACCAAACTCCACAGGCCACTGAGGTGACTCAGCTTCATGTCACCAGAAGATAACAAGAGCATAGAACTGAAAGCAAAATGTTAATTTCATTAATTTATTCATCAGGAATGAATAAATTTATGTCGCTAGACTTTAGAAAATTCTAATCTAGAAAACTACTTCTAGGGGAAAAGCATTAGGCTACTTAGTTCAAATATTAAACATTTCTCCAGTACTCTATGGAGCTGCATTTTCTCTAAGAGTGTATCTAATTTCTAAATCCCAGCTTTTAAAGAAAACTTTCAACCTTCATTTCTGATAGGCTGAATTTTTTGTTCTCATGGCTATACAGAGTAATGTAATCTATTAACTGCCCATACTGAGTTTAAATAGTGACCCTCAAAATTTCACACCCACCCAGAACCTCAGATTGTGGCCTATTTGGAAATAGGGTCTCTGTAGATGTAATTAGTTAAATGAGGCCATACTGGATTACTTGTAGTCCCCAAATCCAGTGATGAGTACCCTTATAAGAAGGGCATGTGAAAATATACACAGAGAAGGTGACGTGAAGATGGAAGCAAAGACTGGAGTGACAGAGCTATAGGCCAAGAATAGCTGACACCAGAAGCTAGCACCAGACAAAGAACTCTTCCCTAGAGCCTTCAGAGGGAGCATGGCTTTGTGGTACCTTGATTTTAAACTTCTGGCCTCCAGTAATACGAGAGAATAAATTTCTGCTGTTTGTGCCACCCAGTGTGTGGTACTTAGTTACAGCAGCTCTAGGAACTAATACACTAATTCAGCCAGTCTAGAAATTCATCTTGAATATAACCAAGCTTCTTTTGGGGAAAATAATAGGTTAAAAGCAACCAAAGTTTTACCTTGTACACATTTTTTAAAAAAATTTATGCTATATACACATAATACAATTTACCATTTTTGCCATTTTAAGGTGCACAATTTAGCGGCATCAAGTACTATATTCAAAATGTTGCTTGCACCCATTTTTAATCCACTCAGTTTTAGTTGTGGCCATTAGCCAAACAGGAAAGAGGAGACAGTAAAATGAGCCTTAGAGAAAGAATAATTCATTATCAAATTTGTTCTTGCTCACATCTAGTGCTAGTGAAGGGAATCTGACCACAGAATAGTAAGTAAGCTTTTACCTTCTTTATATGAAGACTGTGATTAATCACAGGAAAACTGAAGTGTTGATACCAGAGGACTAAGTGTAAATACACCATTACTGCAAAAAACCCAACTTCATTCAGTAATTCATCTCTACTGATAAAGTTTCATCTTCATAATGAAAATCATTATGAAAGCCAGATGTTTACCTTTTATGTTAACTCAGTTAATGTGAACTCCTATAGTTTTCAATATTAAAACTTTTAAGAATGGTGAGAATAAATCCCTGGGTGCTTATCATTCTCCACATATAAGCTCTTTGACTCTTTCACTCTGGTTCTCCCTCCCACCATGATTTTGAGACATTTGTCAGTATTTAGAAATGCTACTCTCTTCCCACTTTCCAGAGAATGTTCTTTGTTGTAACACCTGATTCAGGATGAATTTTGAAGAAGTGTTGCACTGTAACAGAAGTAAAAAAGCATGTATATACTGCCATATTCATTCAATAACCAGCAATCAAAGAAAAAAGGTCACATTAGACAGTAAGGTCACTGAATTTTTCCTGTGTAAATTTTGTTACAGCTTGCTAAATTTGGCAGACATTTGTTGGAAGACAAGCATCCAGTATAATTGTCCAGTTTAGTTTTACTAATATCACTTTTTTCAGAAACTTTAGTAGGTTTAGCAAACAAACTTCCATGTACTTTACAAGGTTTAATTCATATTCACCCTTTCTAATTAAATTTTGATGGTTTACCAGTACTACTTTTTATACAGAAAGCCCCTCGTTTCATGTTATCTGTGAAACAAAAGTGTCAGTTGCTTTCCATGAATAATTATAGAATTTCTCGGTTAAAAGGGTGCTTATTTAGTCTACCACCTTAACTGATGATGAAAAGAGACCAAACTTGTTGAAGATTACAGAACCTATTAGTGGGCAGATTTAGAATTTATCTCTCTGAAAATTCAAGACATTTAATCTTTTCAAATTTGAGGGACCTGTAGAGAATAAAGATAGATTACAGAGGTAACAATATAACCAACTATTTGCTCTTCATCTTCAGAGTTAAAGGAAACTTCTCTTGGACATACTTTCCCATATAAGTGTCTGTATCTCATTTGAAATTTGTTAGGAATCCTTTGGTCATCTGGCTCTACGGTCATAGTTATAGGAAGTGGATTCATGATCTGGCTTCAATTTTTAATGCATCGTCGGAAACACTAGCAATCCACATACTCAAATTTTATTTTATTAATTTATCCCACTTCAATTCCATTCACCATCTCCTTTGTACACCCATTATTTAAAATGAAATACATAACAATGTGAATCTTAAGTGAGAGGTCAAATCCATGCTACAAATGGAAGAATAAAAAACTCACAGCCATCAAACTGAGATTTTAATTGTGTACCAAGGTTGATTATACATTTCGGACACTTTGCTTTTCAAGTTTCCCAGGTTTTAACATGGCTGAGAACCAAAGGGAAAAATACATACGTGCATATATAACTTTTTTAATTTGTAAGTTGAAAGGGCTAAAAGAAGGGAACTAGGAAACTGATATGAAATAGCCACAAGCGATTAATAACATTTTATGCAAAACACCAAAAAAAAAAGTGGTAACAAATACTGAAATGAAACTAAAATGCCTTAGCCTGGGTTCTATTTCCACTTTTGTGACAAGGTTAAGGTGGGCGGGGCACCTTCTCACTAAAATTGGTGCTTTTCATTGAAAAGCAGAGACTGTATCGAAGAAGCCACAAAACCACAGGGGAGCCGCAGTTGGAAAAGCCAGGTTATCTACACTAAGATGCCCTGCTGCAGACTCCTAAGCTTGTGAAGATCGCGTGTACACACAGACTTCGAAATGGGGCCCTAAAGCTCGGGAGAAGCAGACTGAGGAAGCAATCGGGAAGACGAGGCTGGACAGGATACTTCTTCAAGACCCACCACGGAGTGTCAAAGTAGCCGCCGTTCCGCCACCCACGTAGTTGTCTAAGCTCCAGCCAGGTTCCTTGGAGCCTTCAGGGAATCTGCCGGCAGATCTCCTGAGGGATGAGAGTGGCGGCCCCTCGGGCGAAGCCCTTTCTTCTACCGCTCAGGAGAGCGGCCCCGAAGCCCAAAGAGCCGGCCAGAGGCCCCGCCAACAGAGAGGCGCCCAAGCTCGGCAGGGGATTGCTTCTGCCTGGCGCTCCGCTGGGGCCGTATTCGTGCCCCGCGCGCACCCGCTCCTCGCACTCCCAGCCAATCCCGCGCTACACGCGCGTCCCGGAGCGCTCGCCGGCCCTCCTCCGGCTGTGGCGGCTCTTTCCCGCTTCCAGTACTCCGCTACCCAGCTCTCACTCCGCCCCTCACTCTCCAGGAGTTCCACGCCTCGCGGTGTAGCTCCGCCCTTTCCTCAAGCCCGCCCCCACAGCCTCCCGAGCTTGTGCTCCCCTTTCTGCTCAGTCTCTAGCCTTCCAGGCGCTCTGGCTCTCGCGCTCTGCAGAACGGCCCGGCTCTCGCCGGCATTTGACGGACACCTCCGCGCGTTCCGCTCCAGAGGCCACAGCGTGTGCCCCCTGCAGCTCGCCGCTCCAGACCCAGCTCCGGTCGCGCGTCCTGACTCCGCCCCCTCCCGCGGACTCGCGCGCTCCTGGCGCGGCCTCCCCCGGGCGCAAGTCGACGGCACGCGGCCGCCTCCCCCTCCTTCCCCGCTCACCTCGCGCTCTCGCTCTCGCGCTGTCCGAGGCGAGCGCGCTCCCGGCCGGCGCGCTCCGAGCTCCGGCTTCTCCCGGCTCCTGTCAGTGCGGTGACTGCGCTGGGAAACATGGCGACCGAGGGAATGATCCTTACTAACCACGACCATCAGATCCGTGTTGGAGTCCTCACAGGTAACCGGGGAGGAGGTCCGGGACCGCCACCGCCGCTGTCCCCGACTTGCCTCAGGCTTCTTGCCTGTGGTGACCCTTCTCTGAGGCCTCGGGAGGAGGGAAGCCTGAGAAGGGGGACGGGAAAGGGGGGCGTTTTACAACCGCGGAGATCTGCTGTAGGTTGGGGTGTTCCCGTGGGCCCCCCTCGGGAGCAGGAGCGGGTCCCGTGGGATGCCAGGCCCCAGCGCCTTCGCAGCCGAAGTCCCTGGACCCTGGGGACCAAGGGGCCGGTGCGGCGGGCGCTGCGGGGCTCCTTGATGCCGGTCAGGCGGCGGGATCCCGGGGCTCCGCAGTCAAGCACGCCGCTGGGCTGGCCCGCGCGCTTCCTCCGCTAATGCACGTCCAAGAAAGGGGGGGAATCCCGTTTCCACCCCCTCGCTACCCTCCCCCACTCAAGTGGCCCCGCGCTGCTCCTGCTGTGCTTGCCAGGGGCACGCGCCGGACACCACTTGGGTGTTCATCAGGCGGAACTCAGCTCAGCCTCGGGCTGCCCCTCACGAGCCGGGCTTCCCCTCAACCACCCATGGGACACCCCTAGTCTCCCTCGAGAGGTGGGGGGCCGGCTTGCACCCGGACCTCGGAAAGTGTCTGCATTTCGCCTTCCGAAGCTAAGGGCCCTCTCCCCGCCTCAGCGTTTCACTGAGGGACTGACTGGCTGAGCCTGCTGCTGGGGATCCAGCCCATTTCACTTGGGAGAGAAGGATTCCCCCACTTGGGCTCTTCTGTCCTCTTCCCCTCTAGATCCCCGCCACCCCTTGGTCCCGAGGCTGGTGAGGAGCGCACTTTTCCCGGTCGCGTTTCCCTCCCTCGCGGAAACGGTGTGTGCCCTGCATGTCTGATTCCGTTGCGTTGTATTTGGGTAATGTCCCTCAGTTCGGCGATAGGCAGTTGCTGCAGGGCATGACTTCCGAGATGAATAGCAAGCCAGTTTGTAGGGGTTTCTGCTGTGGTTCTGTAGTTGACAAGGCTTATGTGTAATTGAGTGGCAAGGAGGAGGTTAAAGAACTATATTTAGAATCTGAGGGTTTAGTTCAGAGTGAAGGAAATCCAAGATTTACTGTTGTGATTTCGGAAAAAGAAGTGATGTAAACGGGAATCCTAGTGTCCCCCCCCTCCCCACCCCGCCCCAATTCTTTTTAATTTTTTCTTCCTTGTCAGATTCTGACAGGTTGAGACGGTGCTCGAGAAGGGACTAAATTGAATGAGACTTGCTTTTATTATTAGGTAGAAAAAAATCTCTGCCAGTAGATACTGAGTACAAAGCTTAATTTGGCTACTGAGTTTTATGAAAAGGAGATATCCATGACACTCCACCCACTCTTTTAAGTAAATGGGTTGCTTTTTCCTAGTTTTTCTTTCCAGATGTGAATGGTGATTTATTGAATTTTTCTAATCGAAAGCTTCTTGTATAGAGAAACTAGTCTAAACCAATTGCTGGAAAGGGAATCCCCCCACATCAGAAGATGAGCTATGCTCGCTCGCTGTCTCTGCCGAAACTGTTGCCTTGGGCAAAGATTCACTTATATCTCAGAATCGTTAGAGTTAACATTGCTGATTTTCAAAGAATCTGATCGCAGGGTGTAGAAGTGTATACACTGTATCAACTCTCAACTTTTTGATTTCTAGTCATGTTTTGAAAGCGAGTAGAGTAGTGAAAAATGAAACTTAATAAAAACCAAAGTATATCAGCTGACCATGGAAATGAAAAGTCATAAGTGTTTTAAAGTTAAACCATAGAGATTTAATTTTTTTTCATTTATTTAAGCTTCCCCTGATAGTTTTATTTAGTGAATCATCTTGCTTGGTTGGTGACATAGTTGTAGAGAATGCTTTGAAAGGTGCAGCCCTTATCTGTAACCCTACAGTCCAGTAGGGATAAGATTGATATATAAACAACTAAAGAAACAGTGTATGCAATTATTTTGACAAAATTGTCTAAATAAATTATCTGTGCATTTGAGTACTAAATGTAAAAGAAATTCCATGTTCAGATGGATTAGGATCAAATGTGATTACTGAAGGCAGAATTTAATACATTTACCAGAGGTTAAGTAAAATTTGATATTTTTAAGGGTTGTTGAAAGTGGAAGAACCTTATAAGTGAAAATGTTGGTGAGGATGAGGCTCTTAAGCAGAATAACAATGTAATGCAAAGGCCTTGAAAAGCCCAGGTGGTATTGGTAGGTGACATCGACAATGTGAAGGAGAGAAGAGAACTTTGCCAGTGGAGTTGAAGATATTCTGGAGAAGCTATCTTATGACAATGAGGTACAGTAGTTGAGGGGGAAAGTCTAGGGTCAGGAATAAGGATGTAGCTGAAGGAATGAAGAGAAAGTTGCAGATTTGGGAGAAGTGGTAACAGAGGACAATAGGATTTGATTATGGTATATTTGAAGTCAGAAATAACTTTTTTTTTTTTACTAAGAACCTTTTTTTACCTGAAAAGTTATTGATGTAAGTATTTTCTACTATGATTAAGCCTGGAAACAGGGAGAAGAATCAGACGAAAGAGCACCAGCCCTCAGTGTGCAAGTAGTGAATTTTATTACAAACAGCTTAATATTTATGCTCTTGACATTCCATTTAATTTTGTGCAACAAAAATCCCCCTATAAAAATGAAGGTGTGTTGTGCAATTTCGTGTCTTGTAGAACTTCGAGTGTTGCAATTTTACTGTGTGAAATTATTTTTTACTGAACTTAAGTACTATGATTTTATACTTAAGAATATTGAGTTTAGAGGCCACACTTAAAACTATGATTTTATGAGTTGTAATTTGAGCCTCTTTTTAAAGGTGAAGGGCTTGTTTTATAAAATATCCTCTGCATGCTTCATAATAGGGATTTAAAATATTATCTAAATCTATTTTGCAGAGGTAGTGGAAAGTACCTCTACCTGTGCATACATTTTACAATGTGGTAGTATTTTTGTGAAACTTTATTGTTATTTCTAAATCTTTAATTGGTTTCTTTGTGACATTTTTTGTTTTATATTGCAAGATAATATTTATACTTTGAAACTTTCCATCTTCTGGACTTTTAAAAAGATCTTTAGCTCAGTTATGTATTTGGCAACTATATTATGTAGTCTACTGAAACTCCTTATCAAATAACTATTAGAATTTTGAAAGAATAATGGTAGAAAAGAAAGTATTTACTAAGTCATTTATTCTTTTACCTAAAATCTTGAATTATTTAGGGCTTGGAAGTTTGATTATGATAATGTAACATGAATATTTTAGTTATAGTCATTAATGAGAAAAATTGGGAACATTTTTGTATATAAAATAGGTAACCATGGGAACATTTTATGTTGAATATTATTATTCATCTCTAGGAACAATATTTTTGTTAGTAACTATTTTATGTTGATTTGCTATACATAAATGAAGTGTTATAGGTCTTTTGTGATCTAATATCTGGTTTTTAATATATGTTTCTAATGTTCTTTATTTCTATTGCTGTTTATAACAGAGACAAAAGACAATGTGATAATGAATAATAAAGGGCAAACAAACAAGTATCTACTGTTTTGAAACTAGAAGCAAGGAGTAGGGCAGATATAGGATTTTTTTTTTTTGATAACTTTAGTAGTAATTAAACTTCTAGAAGTTCTTAACAATTACACAGCCGGGTAACTATATTTCAAATGGTCACTTTTCACCTAATTTTTTCTATTTCTAATGAAACTGTTTATCAAGGGAGTACATTAGTTCTACTGCTATGTATGTTTCTCTGAGACATCAGGAAAATAATGAATACATGTATGTGTAATAGAGAATGAGACAGATTATGTTCCATTGGTATTTAATGTTATATTAGCTAGCCACTGCTAATGTTCAATAACAAAGCAGTTAGCTAAAGATGATAATTCATTACCTAAATTTTCACTGACAGTGGCATGGATGAGAAATGATGCAAATATTCAGGAAAGGGCATTTTAAAAATAATACTTTTACTTTAGTAATACTCTTTTTTATTGCACATTTGCAATAAAAAAAGCTGTATATTTGTAATCAGTAAGAGATATTAGAACAAGGTGTAAGACTAGATAATAGAGATAAAAGACTAATTGTATACTAGAACAACTAAAATAGTAGTTACATGTAGGGAGTATTTCAGTCATTCAAAATATTAAAAAACCAAACTCTAAGCAAAGGAGATGATAATCTTGTAACTCTTGAATTGTTTAAACATTTATTTTATTACCTTTATAACCTTTATTTCATTCCTCAGGCTTATCCTTGTACATTATAACTGTCAATATTACATCCTGAAAAGCCCATTTGTTGATGAAGATATATAAATATATCTTTGTTTGGAGAATAGATGTTGTCATTAAGTAGCCAAATCACTATTGCAAACAAAACTTAAATCCTACCAAATGGAATTGTGTATTCTGGCAGACATACCAATTCTGATCTGTGTGCCTTTTGTTAAAAGGAAGCATATCTCTCAAACTAGGTTGTTCTTTCATGAATTTTTGGTTGCAGGCAATGTATTGGAGAATTAAAATTTTAGTTGAAGTATAAAATCACTAAATTAATTTCTAATAAATATACTTAATACTATCATCACTGACCAAAGACTTTATAAACTATTAGTACATAGGTTGTTACATATTAAGAGCTTTAACTTTATTAAAAACTCACATGACAATTTCACTTTAACTGAGCTATATGGTGGAGAATCAGCAATATGTTATTGAGAAGGAAATGATGTATGAGTCTATTTTTACTCTTTCAAGTGATAGATTTCAGGTTAAATTGAGTAGGGTACTTTTTTGAAACAATGAGTAAAACAGATAATATCAATACTTTGCTCCTAGAAGTAGTATTAAAGATTAATAAAGCATATTTGGAATTTCAGATGTTAAAAAAATACTAAAAAAGAAAGTAATGAAACTATAGGGATTTCTTCCTTCACATCTGGGCAGACAGGATAAATTGGGAAGGAGAAAAGA